AAAATAATTTTTAAGTTTGAGATTTTTTTTATTCTTATTTTTATAGTTAAATAGATGAGCACTACAAGATATAATAGTTTTAAAGGCCAAGTTTTTTTTTCTTCTCTAGTATAAATTTTGTTTCACAAAAAATTTAGGAACTAATTTCAGTTGTAGCAAAGACAATCGCTAAAAGATCATTCCCAAAAATAAAAAAATAAGCTTTTAGAGACAAATTTTAAAATATCGCTAATAAATAAACCTTTAGAGACAGAATAACTTGGTCTCGAAAAGATTTATTTTTTGGATAAATTACAAATACACCCCTTGAGATTTGCTTAAAATACGAATTGCCCCATGTGATTTGGAAAATTACAAGTATCTCCCTATCAGAATTTTTTATTTAACAGAATTAATTGAGAAAGTAAAATTTCTAACTGTTTACCTATACAATAATAAAATTATCTGAATTATTAATGGAAATAAAATTTTAACACTATTAAAATCTATTAATTAACTTGATGATTTATTAACAAAATGACCTATTTGTTATGAAATTAGAAACCATAGAGGGCATAATGTAATTTCTAGAAGCACAGAGGGTAATTTGTAATTTAAGTAAATCTCATGGAGTGTGTTTGTAATTTACCCTTATTTTTGTAGACAAAACGTTTAATCTCAAAAGGTTAGTAATTCATCACTAAATGTTCAAATTTGTTACTAAAAATAAAATAATAATACTTTTGGCAGCAAAAATATTTTGTCTCTAAAAAATGATTTTGTCTTTAAATTTTTGTTTCTAAAACCTTAATTTCTTGGAGTAGGGTGTGAGGAAAATAGTAATTAATTGATAGGAAAATGTTTGGTAGCTCAAAATTTTGTGGCTCAAATCTGTCAAAACGACGTCGTTTTACACTCAAAATTTGTCAAAACGATGTTGTTTTGAGTGATTTGAGCCATTTGAGCCACAAAATTTTGAGCTACCTAGCATTATTGTAATTGATATATGGAATGTGAGAAAAGAAGAGATGAGAGAGAAAAAAATAATTGATTGATGTGTAGTAGAGACAAAAGTGATTTTAGATTTTCTTCTTCTTTCTTTCTTTCTTTCTTCTTTTTCTTCTTTTTTTTTTTTTTTTTTTGGTAAATTTCAACCAAACAAATTTTTGAAATTTTTTCTCAAAAATTGTCTCTCAAGAGACAAACCAAACAAGTCCATAGTTTAAGAACAAGTCCATACTAGAGATAATCCAATCCTTTATAAAATTTTCCAAGTTTAAGAACACAAAATTAATTACAAAATTAAACATAAAATATACATAAATTTACAAAAATTGGTCCCAATAATAAATTTCGTAAGATCTAATGCATTCATTTATATTTTATGTTTCATAACTCATGTTTTCGTAACAAAAATATATATATATGTTTTAGAAGAACTATTGGCGTTCAATTATGGGGTGAGTGTGGTATGGACTTCCTCAAATGGTCATTTGTATGGACTGAAAAGAATAAAGTGGAACTGCATAAGCCTAGCAAGAGAAAAGAATAAAGTGAAATTGCAGATTAGTTGTGGTGTGGTATGGACTGATTCTGTTTACAATCAACAACCTCATGAAAATTATATCCAAATTATTTTGACAGACCATAATTAATAATAATCATAGGATATCTGACATCAAAAGGTTATATATGATAGTCATGCTCAATGGTCACGATGGAATCAAATGACAATTGAAAGGAAAAACATAAGCCTAGCAAGAGAAAAGAAGAATCATATTCACATACTTTGCCCCTGGACTTCCTCAAATGGCCATTTGTATCAAAATCTCTGTATCATTTGTGGGGTAAAATGATAATTTTGAATTGCAATATTTTTTACCGTATTATTATACTAGAATACAATATAATGAGTACGAGTTATCTGTTGTGTCAGATGAGACAACACAAATTATTCTTCTTATCGGTGGGATCCACCCTCGTCTTATTATGATGATTTGAAACCTTTCATTTCAACAGTTTGAAAAATTAAATTAATCGGATATATTACTAACAATATGATCGAATCAATTTTATCTAAAAAAATAACGGACAATTTGTTCCATAAATCAAACTTGCTGTCAATTTTTTTTTAAAGAAAAATATAATCCAATCATGTGGCTAACAATGTTTGATCAACTTAAATTTTTTTTCATGAATGATCCACTCAATGGACGTTAATGAATGGTTGGGAAATTTCAAAGAAAACAATAACTTTTTTTTTTTTATTTCCTTGAGAAGCATATTCTTGGGACACTAGACGATACAATTGTCATTGATAGACTTGCAAGCGAGTTTGGGACGGCTCAATTCATTTCATTACATATATAATCAAACCTGAATTAGACTTTTAAGCTCATTCAATAAATAAGTCAAGTTCAAGCTAAGATAAACTCAGCTTGTAAAACTCAACTCGTTTATTATTTATTTAAGTAATAGGATAAATTTTTTATTTAGATTATTAAATAATATAAAATGTCTTATATATTTAATATAAAATAATATTTAATAAGCTAACTGACTTTGATTATTGACCCAATTTTTTTTGCTTTTTGTTTTCAATTTTCAAACCGTACACAAACATGATTAGTATTAACTAGTTGAGTGTAACTCACACGAAATTAATTTTCGATCTGAACTTAAGATTGATAAACAAACCAATGGAGCTATATTGATTATATGAAATCGACTGAAGTAAGATAATATTAATTGATCCAACAAATTAAGATTTGCTTTTTCAACGTATTTAATTATTACTAGTTGGAATGAATCGGGGACGTGTTGGGCCGCTCTTAATTATTACTAATTGGATTTTCACCAATTTTCTCTAAACAATACACCTGCTTTGCAAGTAATTGCACGTTTTTATAAGTTGGGGTTTGATAATTACTTATTTTATTTTATTTTTTAATATAAAAGTTTACTTTTTTTGTTTGTAATATTAAAAAAGTTTACGTATATGATAATTAGTAGTGGAGCCAAAAAAATAAATCAAAAAGGACATTTATTAATTACAACTTTATTTTATTTATTTTTCCATAACCAACAATAAGAAAATAATAATAATTTTTGAATTAATATTAAGTACAAAAACTTAAATAAATTATTACAAAAGTATTACACATAAAATTTTACAATTAATTTCGAGTAAAAAAAAGTATTGCGTGTAACTAGTGTATCATAGACAATGTAAAAAAGTCATATATTTAAGTCGTAAAATAAATTATATAATGGTAAGATAAATTAAATTTTTAACAAAATATGAGTAAAAATTTCATATAGTAGTGATATCACGGCATTATTGACATATGATATCACCAATCAATAGTAAAACAACATATGAAGAATAAACTCCATATGCAAATATAACTAACACGCTATAATTTTTACATATATATAATGAAATTAATTATATTTACATATCAATAATGATGGATATTACCTTTATATTGAGATTTTTTCAAAAATTTTTATACATAAAAATATAATTTATTTTAGTCACCTCATTTACAATAAAACAATCACTATTGTTTTCATAAATTTAAAAATACCATTCAGCATGCTTGGTTAGAGTTTTCTAAAAACTCTTTTCAGAAAATTCTACTTTCTTGTTTTTCGTATTTTTTTGTTTTTACTGAATTTTTTTAATATTTTAAGCAATTTTTTAAAATTTTATTTATATATATATATATATATATGTATATCTAGGGGTCAGATTTTCTTGATTTTCTGTGTCTGTTTTTGAATTTCCTAATTCGCTGTTTTTGAATTTCCAAATTCAAACCCCAATGGCTTCAAGACCCATAGTTCAAGGTATTTAAATCTGTCTCTCCCTTTCTCTCTGTGTGTCTGTTTTTGAATTTGGGTTCAAAGTATTTATATATGCCTTTTCCTTTATCTCTCTGTGTCTGTTTTTTAATTTGGCTTCAAGGTTCTGTTTTACATTGTCTCTTTATCTCTCTCCCTATGTCTGTTTTTGAATTTGAGTTCAAGGCATTTTATTTGAATTTCATTCTCTTTGTTTACTCTCTTTGTTTGTGACCTGATGAATTTAGATTCAGTTTTGGAACTAAAATTTGACAATAGTAGATGTTGTGTGTGTGTGTGTGTCTTTGCCCAGGAATCTGTGATGTTATGTGATGCTGTGTGTGAGTTATGTGAATCTGTGATGTGTTCTCAACAATTTAATCAATCCATTGTGTTCTGTACTTTTTATGCAGCATTTACAAACACTTATTGCCTGAACTAATTAATAAAGAAACATGAGAAAAGTTAGAAGAATGTATATAATGCTCTTAGACATTTCAAAGTTTCCTTCTTAAATTAACTTCGTGAAATATCAATCATTCACTTTCAACAAATGTCATAGGCTGGCTATATTTACCAAGAGATTTTGTGTTTTTCTTTTTTAATTGTAAAGATAGGTTGTTTAATCAACAGTTAGAACTCAAAATATTTATTTTGGTTATGGCTCACACCATACACTCCATTTTATGAGTGCATTTTTTTGATCTATAGTTTTTTATTAGAGTGTTCTAAGTTAGGTAAAGTTTGGAGTAGGTGAGTTGGGTATTCAAAATTTGTGAAATAAATATTCAAAATATGTGAATTTATGGCACTGATTTCTTTCTATGTGCTTTCTTGCCTTTTACATACATATGTTACTACAAATCCTACTTGCATCAGCTCATCATTTGGTCGTCATCAGCCTTATTTTACCAAGTCACAGCTATTTTGATCTGGGTTCAACCCTTTTTTTTTTCTTCCCTCTAAAGGATCATTCAACGTTGAACAACAATTTAATCAATCCATTGTGTTATGTACTTTTTATACAGCGTTTACAGACACTTATTGCCTGACTGGATAATTTTTTTAATTGATTTAATTTTATTAAATCCGATAATGAACTAATTAATAAAGAAACATGAGAAAAGTTAGATGAATGTATATAATGCTCTTAGACATTTGAAAGTTTCCTTCTTAAATTAACTTCGTGAAACATTTCTACAAACCAAATTGCTCTCATACAAAGCATTTTTTATAAAATATTGTAAGTTTATATACTTTTATTAAATTTTTTGTGTTAAAATTTATATAATTATACGTATAAATTATGGAATTGAGATGCAGAATATTGGAATTGAGCAAAGGTGCAAAGGTGCAGAAATTGAGGATTTGGTGGTGGCTTTACTTGGCCTCTGCAATCTTCTAATGAAGGAAGAAAAAGTTATGGATGCTGAAAATCCCTTTATTAGGTAATTTGGTTGTCTGTATATTGTTTTGGGTGTAGATTTCAATATTTTTGTCTTTTATTTATTTATTAATTTCTTTTTTGTTTTATATTCCATTCTGTGATGAATCTGCAGATTTCTTGACATATATGCAAAGTTATACGGGGAGAATAATGGAAGAGTTTTTGAATGGCTATGTGTTTGTTGGCCCATGTGAAATGTGCATAAGGTGAACTTCGTATTCTTCATTGTATGCAAGTAGTTTTCTTCCTGATTTCATTTAAATTAGTAGGATCATGTTAACACCAGTACTTGTGTGGGGTCAAAAAGTTGCTCATTCTACTATGAGTGGTTTGTGGTGAACTTTAAATTTAAAAGTTCATTCATAGATGGAGATCTACTTCAAGTTTTTGAGTGTGGGGTCATGTGCCATTTTCATACAGGGAATGCTGATAAAGGCAGTCAATTATATAGAAATGCTCTTCAGGTCCTTACAGATTCAAAATGTATGCCTTTGGATGACAACGTAATGGAAAAAATGATAGATTTACCAGAATTGCTGCATTTAGTGGGAAGGTATGCCTTTGTTTCAGTTCTGCCACTTTTCTAATTAAGAAACCTCTTTGTGCTCAGACTACAATAATTTAACTAGTTTTTTGGTTTTTAGTACAGATTTTTTTGAGATTTTAAAAATTATTTATGATGGCCTCTTATAGAGTTTCGTTTTAAAATAAAATGGATTTTATTAATCTTATTCGAAGGTATGAATTTGTTATTGATCTTAATCTTAATCTAAAAAGGAATGCATATGGACCTGGTGAGCAGTGGATTATTTATATTCCGTATGTTCTTTTCTTTTTCTTTTTCTTTTTTTAATTTTTTTATATGACATCCACATTTTCCAAATTCTGTAATATTGTCCTATTTTTTAGGGTATTCCAAAAGTTGCAATGCCTGTGAATCAGGCAAATTCTGAGAGGGCTGAAACGGGGGCAGCAGCAGCTGCACCTGTCTCTGGAGCACCTTATTCATCTCCCTTGAATTTGTTTCCTCAGGTCTAACATTAGTTTAGATATTAGATAGAGAGTTTCAAGTGTATCTTTACCTTTTATATGTTTCTTATATTTTTTAAATTGAAATATCCCCAGGAAACAATTTCACATTCTGGTGTTGGTGGAGTTGGCTCCCTAGATTTCCTAAGAAACAACGAACAGGTTTGGCTCCTATTATATTATTTGCTGTCATTCCTTGCTTTAAGAAGATTGTAATTATAGGAGTTTGGTCTGATCTTAAAGCTTTGCATTTGAATAACTGGATCTGCTTATAGTTAAATAGTTTTTTGTCCTAGTAAAGTTTTTAATGAGATCAGATCTTCCCAACCATCAACCATGTACTTACTACGAGATGAAATCAAATTAGACCATCTTGATTTATACATATTTTCTATTGAAATTGAATTTATTTGTTATTCATTTTTTTTATATAGTTTGCTTTTCAGTTCCAAGCATTACGTTCTATGGTGCACACAAATCCACAGATTTTACAGGTTTCCTTTCTTATTCAGTTAATGTGCTACACTTTTTTTTATTAATCTTAATCTTATTAAGGTATCATGCCTTCAAAATCTGTCACCATTAAAGAATTTTTTACTTTCCAACATTATTCTATTAGTATAATATGCCCATTTTGTGATTGAACCCCAAACACCGTATTACTCTCTTCATCTTCTTTCTTCCTCCCTCTCTCTCCCAATCTTCATCAACAATGACGGAGCCGTTGCCCATTTTCCTTCTTTAGGAAAGCTGTGTACTTTGTCGTTGATTTTCCATGATTGATGTGCAACTTCACAACTTGCCAAGCAGAGTTTTTATTTTTGAAGGGCATACACTCTAATCTAATTTTATAATCTCTAATCTCTAATCTTTAGTCTTTACTAAACGATTGTAACATAACAAGGCAAAACATGCCATATTGTCTTTGGGATAAACAAATTCATGCATTGATCAGGAGTTGCTGCAATCTAGAAGGAGATGGGTACACGTTGGGATCTTTGTATGGAAACTGTTTGCATGTTTTTTGTTTTTTTACTTATGCTTTTGCAAGCAAGAAACAATTTTAGAAGAGCCATATGTGCTTATTAATTGGTGTCTTTCTTGCAGGCGCCTTTGAAAGTTTGATTTGCCTAGACATGCGTTATCAAACAATATCTATTAGAAATGGGAGTAGACAAGGAAAATGTGGAGGGATTAGTCTTTGAGATGAGCAAAGGTTTAATTACGTTGAGAATGAGAAAGCCATATCGCATTCTTAGAAGGTATTCTTTAGGAAAGCTGTGTACTTTGTCGTTGATTTTCCATGATTGATGTGCAACTTCACAACTTGCCAAGCAGAGTTTTTATTTTTGAAATTTGTGAAGGGCATACATACCATGCTGTGGTAAACACACTGGACAGATACATGCATAAGAGCCTACATGAGTGAATTTTTATTTCTTGCACTATTTTTTATTTTCAATCTACCATGCACTGGTGGATGAATGTTATGTATATGTTGTGTGTTTTTCTTACCATCAAATTGTGAGCTAGAGTTTTATGTTAGAACAATATTTTGTTTGTCTAAGTGCATATACGTACTGATTTCAAGCCCATTATAAGGCTACATTGCAAAGGCCTTCGAGTACTTTTCTTTAAATAAGCTTTTTATGCATGTTTGTATGTGCGTGTCCATTGGCATGTGTTTGTTTATTAATGTGGCATAGCATTCTCTGACTCAAAGAATTGATTATAGTATAGCGTTTTGTTTGATAATTTCTTTGGATTCTGGTATTGACTTTTTGGAGTGAATTTTGCAGAAGGATTTTGATTAGCATTCATTAGGAGTTTTAGAGTAAGGTAGTGAAATCTTTCTATATCCCAGAAGTTGATTATAATACTACTTGGAACTTGAGAGCTGAGCAAAATCTCTTTTCGGTTTTTCCCTTTTTATTGGACTATGCTATTGTGTCTCGAACCTTTTATGCTTAGTTGAACCAATGTGCAAATGCATTTGATGGTCAATGAAACTTTGCTACAAAATCGCTTCATAGTGATTTGGTGGTCGCTGTGTTTAAGAAGCCGAAGAATAATAGAACATGCTTGAAAGAACAAAATTCAGAAAATGGGAGAAAATGTATGGTGTGCTTTATTTCTTTCTAAACATTTTTTTTTTTGGTTTTTAAATATGTTTTAGTTTTAGATTGTATAGAGTGACTTAAATTTGATAATATTTATATTGTTTGAAGATCACTTCCCATTTTATTGGTTAATACTTAATAGTTATGTTCGAGTTTATATTTCTAATCCTGTGTAGATGGTCAAATAATTTGTTTCCCAATTTAGTACCAAAGTTTTTTCACTATAAGCCTGCTGCATTTGGAGTTATGTGTTTGTGTCTTTCTTTGTTCTGTTTGTTCCTCAAATCCTTTCTGCATAATCAGTTTGAAATCATTTTAATTCTAATTTCGCATTCCATGATTAGACCATTCAATCCAATGTTCTTTAAATACTGGACTCAATATTTTTGCTACATTTTTATCTCACAATTGTATGTAACTTTTGCCATTATATATTCAATGAGTTGGAATTATTTTTATTTTTTTTTTTTTTTTTTTTGTGGGGGGGGGGGGGGTGTTGGTAAGTAATGCATTAGATTGTTATTGGAATGATTTGAATTCCAATGACTAAAGAGTGGTGGTTTTGTTCACTGATTAACTAAAGCTTCTGCACATCTTGAATTCCAATGACTAGCGTAAGCCCATGCCTAAAGGCACGGTGTAAATAATTTTAAAATTAAAATGCAGTTATAATTTATACGTATTATGTTGAAATTTATAAAGTTTGTGTCATTTTTTGATAAAAATACTGAAAAAAATATATTGAAATATTTTCTTCTTAAAGAACTTATAACAATTTCAATATTATATTTTTTTAGTATCTTTATCAAAAAATGACACAAACTTTATAAATTTCAACATAATACGTATAAATTATAACTACATTTTAGTCTTAAAATTATTTACACCGTGCCTTTAGGCACGGGCATACGCTAGTCTATATAATAAAGGAGAAAGATTTTTGAATTTATGTCAAAAATATATCAGAGATACATTTCAATTAAACGGCTGAGATGATTTCTAATAAATTTCTAACGGTTGAGATCAATTTCTTTCCCTCCCAAACACTCTCTGCTCTCTCTCTCTCCCACGTCTGCCCAAACCCATTCTCTTCAACTCTCTCTCTCTAACATTCTCTCTTCAACACCATAATCTTCTTCAAGATTAGGGTTTCAAAATTCTTTCTCTTCTGAAACTGGTGACCAGAGGTAGTAGATCAGAGAAACCTAAGATAATCTTCCAACAATTTGATTCAAACAGAGATGGACCAGCTCACCACCACCGCCGCTGCTCATCATCACTGTCGCCATTGATCACCTTCAGTTTTCGAAATCGCAAGGTATTTTACATTCAGTTCTTCAATTCTTTGTCTGTCTTGATCGCTATTTTAGGTTGAATTTTCATGGGTTCCCTGCAATCCAAACCTCAAAACAGAGGTATTTTACATTGAGAATCCCGAGGCTTCAGTTTTAAGGAAAAAAAATTTCTTCTATTCTTTCTTCAATTCTTCAAATTCTTTGAGAATCCCGAGGCTTCAGTTTTAGGGAGAAATTTTGAATTAATCATAGTTGTGTGTCATCACATTCATTTCAATTTCAACAAACAAAAAGAAACAACATTTAGCAACCAAGGGTTAATTCCACTTTTATCCCCCCTACAATATCACTATTTTTCTACTTCATCTCTAAACTATCAATGTCATCTAAAGATTTCATCACATTCATTTCAATTTCAACAAACAAAAAAAAACAACATTTAGCAACCAAGGGTTAATTCCACTTTTATCCCCCCTACAATATCACTATTTTTCTACTTCATCTCTTTGAGTGTATCCCCACTCCCATATTAGTATTTCAAGAGTATTTAGCAAACTCAAAAGTATTTAGGACCCATTTCATGAATTAGCACCCATTTCCCATTAAAGAATCAAACATTTCATAAATCAAACCCATTTCAACTGAAATAAACACAGATTGGGGCATCTAAACTGAAATAAACACAAATTGGGGCATCTAAATAAACACAGATTGTTTAAAATGAAATAAACATAAATCAAACTGAAATAAACAGATTCCTGAATCTAAATTAGGGCATCTTCAAATTTAACTAATGAAACCCATGGAAACCCATTTAAAAAATGAAACCCATTAAAACCCATAACATCACAGATTTCAATTTCAACAAACAAAAAGAAACAACATTTAGCAACCAAGGGTTAATTTCACTTTTATCCCCCTTACAATTAACTGGTTTGTCTATATGGTTGTGAAGATCATCATTGAGTGTATGAACTGGTTGTTTATCTTTGCTTTTTATCGCTGTTGTTGGTTGATTATTAAATCGCAAACCTGATTGAACAAAAAGGGCAAGACTTGGTGTATATTATGGCCTCATTTGGGAAGTGGCTATTTTAGTAGGCTATTTTAGTTTTTGGCTATTTTAGTAGGCTAAAATTTTTGTGTTTGGGAAGATGATTAGATTTTTTTGTGGTTGGATGTAATGTTTGTGAGAGAAAAAATGAAATGATTATGGGTTTGATGTGATATTTTGTCTTATTAGCTATTTTAGCATATTTTGTCTTTCTGTGATTTTTAGCCTAAATTAGGCTATTTTTTTTCTTCCCAAACACCCCCTATATATATGTATAATATATATAATCAACTCAATTTGAATGCTTGGAAGCTTTGAAGCTATCTCCTATGATCAAGCAATCCTTATTCTCACCTTCACTGTATATTTTTTCTCTGCTCTGTGAGTCCTTGATACTGGTTTGGAATTCGAAGGGACTCAATAAACAGCTTATTCCTTTATTTATTATGAATAGCATTTAGATAGCCAAATAACAGAGGACAAAACATTTTTCCAAACGAGTTCACTGAGCCATTTCCATTTTCTCTATCTAGAAAATAAATATTTTAAAATAATACAAAACAGTCTCTAGATTTTGAATAAAATATACTTGATCATAGGAGGATTGCGGTTATGAAGATAATTATTCCCTTTGCCTACAGAAAACAAATGCAAATAATTAAGCCCAAAAAAATATAATATACATATGCCACTGTCAATTAGGACAATGAAAAGAAAAAAAAATTAAACAAAGATGAATGCCTCCTTCATCATTTTGATGAGAGAGGAAGATATGCATAAGGGAGGAAAAACACCATACGGGTCATTTTTCATACTATTATTAATTTATGGGTCATTTAGTTTCCATTCTCTCTCAGCTTTTGTAGTTTCCTTCTTTACCCCATCAGAGCTCACTCCGGTAGGTTATTTCTCTCAAATTTTGTTGTTTCACTCCTCTCCTTTTCCATCTCTCAGCTTTTGTTGTTTTAGCTTTTAATGTTATGGTCTGGTGTGTTATTGTTATTGTTCTGTATTTTTTTCTTCAGTTCTTCAGTTCTTTGTGGTTATGTACATATTGTTTTTAGGCTTTGAGAGCATCCCCATTTATATTTTAAAGTTTCCTTTTCCCCTTCCCTTTCTGCCTCTGTTACATTAATTTTGTTTCCTACCAATTGACTAAATGAAGAATCATTGTTCGAAATCAAATATTTCATTAATTTTTTAGATAACTAAATGAATAATTCTGTTCTTCCTTGCTGATAGAAAATTTACCAACTGGAATACAGGAAAGAATTTCCCTTGCTACAATTCAAACGACGGTGCCTCTCCTTCGGCTCCCATCGAACTCGCACTCACAAGGTAAGATTTCAAACTCGCTCCCTTTCTTTGTTCTTCATTGCTGTGTTGAGTTGTTTGAATTTGTTGTTTGAATTGTTTGAATTCTGTTCGATGTGAATCCTTGATATTGGTTTGGAATTTTAGCAAAAATCTGATTGCAGTGGCGTTTATTAAATTTTAGTTATATAAATTGTTATTAAGTCCCTCTCTTTTGTTATTGAGTCCCTTCGCACTCGCACTCGCACTCGCAAGGTAATTTCAGAATTTTTTTTTGCGGATTATGTTGATTACTCTCCTCTGTTATTGAGTTTATTTTATTCCATTGTGAATAGCATTTAGATTATCCCAAAATTTCATTTAATGTAGTTGCATTCCTATATAAATCTGTATATGATCTCATGGTCCATGTTGTGTTTTAACAACAAAACATCTCTGCCAAACGAGTTCACATAAACAAAACAGTCTCTAGATTTTGGAATAAAATTAGATACCTTATCCTATATATATACTTGATCATAGGAGGATTGCGGTTATGAAGAAAATTCATTCCTTTGCCTATAGGAAACAAATGCCAAATAATGAAGGCCCAAAAAATAATGATATACAGATGCCACTATCAATTAAGACAATGAAAATAATCTATTTCCTTTCTCTTTCGCAGATGTAAGATTGTTTCAGTTTTAGTGTGAGCCAACACCAATAAATAGAATCTATTTATTACTTCTTTTAATTAAATTGTTAATTTTGATTATTAATTTCTTTTCCCATTTTTGATTATTAAATTGGTGTATTTTAATAAATTTCTTGATTTCTTATTTATCTCATTTTGAAATATTGCATTCCAGTATAAAAAATTGTTAATTTTCTATGTTTTTTGATATCCAGTATAAAACAATTGTTAATTTCTGTTTTCGATATTAAAGATTTAGATTTGACTGTCGTGACCGCATTATTTTTATTTTTTTTATAGTTATTGTAAAATTTATTGTGATATATGAAACATGTAAAGATATGAGACAGCCAACGATTCCTTTGTTTTTTTTTCCAACTATGTCAACTCAACAATTTCGTTATTCTTTTTTGTTTTCCCTCAAAGACGTTCGCGTTTATACTTGGCAAGGTAAGATTGTTTGTTTGTTTTGATTTCGGTTGTTTTTGCTCATGTTGTGTTTGTTTTTGTTTTGGCTGGGTCTGTTTTTGGCTCATGGTTGTGTTAGCATTTTAGGTTCAAACGACATTTTTGACATTGTTGGTATGAAAGATTGAGAAAGTTAGCGACTTTGATGAAGAATGTTTTTTGTACATCACAATTTCCTACATTCATCAATTGAACAAGAAGGGTAACACAACATCCAAAGGTAAAGCAGTGTTGTCTGAACTTGAAAATGGTTCAAGGCATGTTAGTATAAGTTCTCTCCTACGAAGGATTAATTTAGTAATATATTTGGTGATCCACATGGAAATGAAATATTATATATTTGATGTAGGAATAGAGACGCTTTCAAATAATATAAGGATCGTTTGTTTTTTAAATCATTGACTAGCAAGCATACATTGTAACTACAATACAATGAAGTATAACTGTTGGACAAACAATGTTTGTGTGCGTATACATGATATGAACTGCTTATCTGCAAGCTAGTAAAATGATTGTGAATAAAATAAACACTGATTTACAATTTCTTAAGGTGCACAAAAGATCTCTTCCTGATTTGGAACAAATTCTATCCTGTCCAAAATAAACCAGTACATCAGAAGTGATTAACCAGATACTAGATTTTAGTTTTGGTCCACTTCATGCATGAATGCATATAACTAAATGAAATAGTGAAAATTCTGTGGGGATTACCTTAGCTTAGAAGTTAGGAGTAGTTAACAATGAGAAGCCGGAATCATGTATTTCCATAATTATTTGATAGAATTTTTATGCCTTTTGAGGAGCCTTATATTACCACTAGAAATTAAGAAAGTGGAAAACAAAAAGTTGAAGTCTGTAAAACAGGAACTAAAATGGAAACATAAAACTAACAAGTTCTCTAAGAAGAAAAAAATTTAAATATATTTTTTTTCAATATTTTTATCAAAAAAATAACACAACTTCACAATTTCACAATACGTATATTACAATTATATTTTGATCGTAACATTTATTTATCCATGCCTTTAGGCACGGGCACTATACTAGAGACAAGATAAGGACTGTTTTTGAAAATATATAAAACTGTATTAGAAATACATTTAATATTAACGACTGAGATGCAATTTTAAGTATATATGAATGGTTCATATTGGTTCAGATGAATGTTGATTGCCGCCTAATATACCCAACCTACCACGTCTGACCCCATCCCCTTCTCACCTTCCCCCCCTCTCTCTCTCTCTCCTCTTTCTATTTCTTCTTCTCAACACGAAGCAAAAACACACCCGATGCTCCTCAAGTCTCAACCCCCCCACCTTCCAATCTGTGTAATTTGGGTTTGATTTCCTGTTTTTGGTGGCCAATACAGACTTACAGGTTTAAATCTAACTTCACAATTGTATATTAAAGTTTGTATTTATTAATTGTTTGAAATTCCTGTTTATTGATAATTCGCGGCTTTTTCATTATTTTTTATCTCGATTACTATCTTTCGCCAGTGCTATGCATATGCATATCTGTTTTACCTAACCACAGGCTCTCCATTAGAAATGAGAAGCATAGTGGCAATGGGGGTGAAGAAAAGTGTTGATATGTTGGCTTATACTGCCATGGCCATAACATGTTTGAATAGTGTTGCCTGTGAGGAAACCTTACCACAATGATCGAACAGAGTAAACAACAGTACTCATTTACTCATTTTGATTCTGATTTTGATTTTCTAAAACCTTAAATTCATTGTAATTAGGTTTTTCTGGATATTATTTTTAGGTATTTTGTATTTCCCTAAAACCACACAAGTTTGTAAGATTTGGTTTTAGTATTATGTGTTGTTTCCTTTTTTTCCCCTTTCTGGTTTATTTCCCTCCTTCTCGACTTGAAGGCATTGTTGAGAGCAATTGCCTAATTGTTGCAGTTATTTGGGGTACAATTACAGTGTTTTTTGATGTTAATTTTTTTATAAATTAATTGGTGCTTCTGCTTTATTATTGATTACCTGCTTTATATTATACCCTGCTTCTGGTAAATTGTTGGATAAATTGTTGGTTGATTATGCTTCAAGTTTTTTTATTTTTAATTTCATTGCGATAATTGTTGGTTGATTCTGCTCTCTCATCGCCATGCAACCACCGATCGTCTCACATCCAGGTTTTGCTTTAAAGTTTAATGATTTTGATGTAAACTATTTTAATTTGTTGGGGTTTGGTGGGTTTTGATTTTCTGAAATTTGAAATGGATTTGATGCGTTTTATTCGCAGAAATTCGCAAAAATTTGAAGTCGTTTCGCTTGAGACATCATCCTCGGAGCAAGTTTTTTCCGGCTTCTGCGCTTTTCCGGCACATCCCTGTGAGTTTACTCTTCTCTATATCTCTCCTAGAAATGTTTATAGATATCATGAATATATAAAATACACCGTCCAAGTTTTGCTTTAAAGTTAATGATTTTTGCTTTGGGTTAATTGGAAACTGCTTATACATATTATTTTAATAAATTATGTAATAAATTCTCCTGATTTTACTAGCTTTGGAGATGTGTAAGTGTTAGTTAATTCTTTGCTTCTATACCAGTCCTTGCTTTCATGGGCTCTAGAAAGAGTAATATTCTTGAAACCTTGAGTAATGAGTTAGGGTTTCTCTGGCTGGTTCTGTTTTGATTAAATAGAATGATCATTGTAATTTTTTTTTTGGTTAAATTTTTTTCAACTTAAAGGCATTTGCAGTTTTCTTAACCTTTTGGTATGATGATGTTGAGAGCAAAAAATGAAATTGATG